GTCCTAATACTAATAAACATCAACGAAATATATACATATGAATTAGTAGAAAATCAAAACAAATCAATATTTTGTTAACTTATAATTTATTGGATTATAGCTGTAAATAATTTTATTGAGAATTTATTAAGATTAACTTTATTAATAACAAACAACTAATAAAGGGGGTCATATAACAGATATTTTATTTCATCTCACTCTATTGGGTTATAATTGTTTTAATCATTTTAATAAGTCCTTTAATTGTAAAGGTACTGGTAGAACAATGTATACCATAATTAGTATAATTTGTTCTTTGTTTTATAAAAATGTGATATATTGCATAAATTACTCACGTAGTTGGTTAGAGTAAGATTTTATAGAGAAATAATTAAGTGAAATTGTAAAATTACTCAAAAATGAGTGATAAAAGAAAATAAAATCTAAAAACAATTTTTTCAACAAGATACAGTAAATATGAATTATATCATCTCACTTCCAAAAACACCAACAGGACTATATGATACCAAAGCACTTCAAAACCAATTTATGCATGGAGGAATTATTAAAGAAGAAGATGTCTCAAGATTAATCGAAGAAAGTAAGTGTTATTTTGGATTAGAAGAAAATGTAGTTCATGTATATGACAATACACTTATATTTGGAGATTACCATGGACAATACTTTGATTTAATTACACAAATGAATGACCCTTTTTGGAAAGATCGATATTCAACATCAATTTATTTAGGTGATTATGTTGATAGAGGGACAATGTCATGTGAAGTACTAATAACGTTGTTATGTATGAAGGTAAATAATCCATCTCATGTGATAATGCTAAGAGGAAATCATGAAAGTAGAAATATGACTCGAGCAATGGGGTTTATGGCTGAGTGTAAAATGAAATACTCGTTAATTCTCTATCGTCAGTTTTGTTCTTTATTTGACTCTCTTCCATTAGTGTGTATTGTTCATCGTGATATAGGTGATTTCTTTTGTTGTCATGGTGGAATATCTCCAGACATGACATCTATTAACCAAATCAACTCTATTGATCGTTTTCATGAACCACCTCTTGAAGGTCTTTTTTGTGATTTATTATGGGCTGATCCTATTAGTGAAAAAAAGTTTGAAGAACAACCTGGATTTAAAAGGCATTATGATGCCATTTCATTTTTACCGAACAATGAAAGAAATTGTTCGTATTATTTTGGATATAAAGCTATTGATGAGTTCTTACAAAATAATAACATTATTGCAGTTATTAGAGGACACCAATGTAATAGGGAAGGTGTTGAGATGCACTTTTTTGGATGTGATGAATTAGAATTTCCTCTATGTTTTACTGTATTTAGTGCATCTTTATATTCTTTAAACAACCAGAGTGGGACTTTATTATTGTCAAATGAAAAAATTGATATTGGAAGATACAACCAACCAGACTGTTTAAATCAATATAATCCAATTCTTCCAAATCCTATTTTATTTTCAGTAATTAAAGTTATGGAAAGTATTGAAGATATTATGTACCAATTAATTCCATTTGTTTTCAATGAAGAAAACAGTGAACATGAAGAGACTGATAGAATCCAAGAAAATCAAATACAAATTCAACAAGAAAATTTTAAGAAAGAAGCAGGTTCGTATTTTGGTAGTTCAGAAAAAGACCCAAAACCATTATTTTTTGAAAATCCAATAACTCCTCTAAATTCTTGTTTATCTCAAAGTAATCCAGGTGATGAGGAGGGTATTAATGTTATTGAAAAAGAACTTAGTATTGAAGTACCTGAAGTAAAACAATCAATTTCAAAAAAAGGAAAAATAAACAACATTTCTATAACATTTAAAGAAGATACCCAAAAAAAGAATTCACTATTTTTATCATTTGACCAAAGTGAAGTACACCCTTTAATATATAATGATTTACATGCATCTATTGCTACACAAGAACCAAGTCTATGTTTGTTTATTTTTTTTTAATGGACTTTATTATTTTGATTAAAAATTAATCTTTTTAGATGAAACGAAAGATACCACAAAACTAATTAGACAAGAAAGTCTCCCTGTTTCTATTGATGAAATTAGAAAAAAGTATTTAGGATTGAATAAATGATTAGTTCTCTCATACTTTATCAATTTTTATTAAATTAGAACTAAAACTTAATATTTTTTATTATAGTAACAAGTTATTTATTAACATGGACAATATGATCTTATTACAACCTAAATGGTTATTATATTTGAAAAGAGGAAATAAAATGGATGAGTTAAAACAATAAAGGTTTATTTGATTGTCCTTAAAATATTATTAGAGTTTTGATTAATCACATAATAAGAATAACTTTAAAAATGTTCAAGTCATAATATAACAAAGAAACAGTTTTAATAAGAAAAAGATTAATGTCAGTGTATGAAAATATAAAAAAACTGTTTTTAGTAATAGTTTTAGAGATAACGTTTTACACAATATTAATGATGAGTATAAATTTCTTATCAAATGTGGAAATTAGATAGATATAATAGAGGTTATGAAATGAAATTTTAATTAAAAAAAGTTTTTTAAATAGTAATTCCTATATGTATACTCTAATGTGTGAACAAATATGAGTAATACAATTATGTTTTTAAGAAAACGAAGCAATAAGAGATAATTAAAAACTAAAAAGCTTAGTTTTTGCTAAAGAAAAAAATGGTGAAACTAAACGGAATAAGAAAACTAATTTAGAATTTTTTTTGAGAACTTGTCTAAAAAAAAAAGGAAAACTAATCCAGTTATTTATAATGGAAGTTGAGTCACCCAAACCTAACAGAAATAGCAAACGTTTCTCAATGCGTAAAACATTATTACTTGAGAAAGTTCACTTCGATATTAAAATTACTACATTAAAAAAATTAGATGACGTGAATAATCATGTCATCTATATCAAATGGAAACGAGGAAATTCAAAAAATTCAGGTAACTTAAAGAGAGTTTTAGTAGAAAAAGCAATAGCACAATATAACACAACGTTCGGATTTGATTGTACAATACAACGTGACTCTAAAACAAATCAATACAAAAAAGAGAAAGTCCTTAAAATAGACTTGTTTGTTGTCACTACAAAAGGAGAAAAAGAAAAGGCTTCTTTGAAACTTGATTTGAATTTATATCTTGATGGTGAAACTAAAGAAGAATTTTTACCTTTTGAAGGAACACATTATATTTTAGGATTTATTATCGAACATCACTCACTAGAAACAATAAAAAGAGCACCTTCAGCTGGAAGTGAATCAGATTGGAGTGATAGCGATTCCATTACTATGACTCAATCACTCACCAATTCTCCACACCCAATGTCTCCAAGAAAAAGAACACTAAATAGAACAGTATCAATTAATGGAGATGTTACATTTAGAAAAGAATCTGGTTTAGAAGAAGACTTTGCAATGAAATATTATAAATTAAAGGATGATTATGACTCATTATCAAAAGAACTTACACAGTCATTACAAGAACAAGGTAAATTAAAGGAACAATTAGAAGAAATTAAAATAGACCCAATTAATGACCCATTTCAAACAAGTAATTTTATTATCAATTCAATAATTGCTACTAAATATCAATTTGATGGTCAATTAACTGAAACAGCTTCTGCTTTAAAAGAGAAATGTGTTGAAAGAAATTTTAGAATAGATATTGAAAATAATTTTTTTAATAATGTTACAGCAGCAATGAAAGCAATTGTGAAAGTATCAAATAGATCAACCAATGCTATAGCTTATTGGATAGCAACTACATGCTCTATATTAATTCATATTAAGTGTTATGTAACTTCTATTAATGAAAAAACAAAACCAAAAATTGCAAAATTTGAGAAGTCAATGATTGAAGTTCTTAATGATGAAATTGAGTTATTACTTGAGATTGCAGTAGAAAATATTACTAACTTAGTTTCATTCTTTGATAAAAAAACTGAACCGTTTGTTATTTTTCTAGTTTCTCATAACAAAATCTAATAATTTAATAGGAGAATAGAGGGATTTGATAAACTCTCTCAATGTGTTAGAGTAATGAAAAATTATTGTATAAGTGAAAAGGTTATATCATATTTTATCCAAGTGTATTGTGAAACAATTGATAGATTTATCTATCAACAAATAATGAAAGAGTATCAATGTTTTACTGTTCAGGATGGAATTAATTTTAAAATGAAAAATGATAGGTTCAAAGAATGGATCGTTGAGTCGTTTGGTAAAGAAAATGAACAACAGTTTTATAGAATTGCTGAGATAAGCACATTAATGTTAATGGATATTTCATTAATTTCAACACCAAATGATTTCCAAGGATTAAACTTGAAAACCATATCAAGTCAAGAGATTATATATATTCTTGAACATCTTCAACCACCATTGTTTGTTTAGCCTCTTATTTTTTATAATATAATAATAATAACACGTTATAGAAACAAGACTTTAGTGGAAAAAATAAAAACTGAATTATGTATTGAAAATCTTCCACTAACATATGATAAAACATTCCAAAAAATTGAAGTTCCATCAGAGGTATTAGAGAATTTGTAAAGAAAAAAAAAAAGAAGAGATAATTATAAATTTTGGTTTAAAAATTCTGTATTTTTAAAATTTAGTAGATTAAACAATAGTTATAGTTTAGGGATGGTAGTAGTAAATTAGAAAACTAAGAAGATGTAACTGTTTCAATAATTGTCCCTATAATTGAAAGAATACATAATACTACACAACAAGCCATTGCAATTGTAAATAATAGATAACGATACCATGGAATATGTGCATCTGGTAATTTAATCCATTGTTTTTGTAAATAAGATAAATCTTCATCATTTGATTCACCGTCCATAGTCACAGTGAGTTGGTAACTGTTTTGATTAGTTGGTTGTTCTTTTTGTTCTTTAACATCATTTAATTCAATTACTTGTTGTCCAGTAGTTTCATTGGTATTAATTGTAACAACAACATCAGCAATACCTTCATTCTTTTGAGCTTCATTTTTAGCAAAAGCAGTTTCAATATCTCTATAAGTAAACATCTGATTTCCTTCTACTTTTTTATTATATAATACATTTTCAATCACTGATAATTTTCTAAAATTTGGATCACCTAATTTCTCCATTCTAGGCCATAACATCATAATGCTCATTGGTCCAATATAAACAACAAAAATAGAAAATATAGCTGCTCCAATAGAAAAAATTACTCCAATATTAGTAATAAATGATGCAGCTAATGTTGTCAAACATAATAAACTTATTCTTATAACTAAAATAGAAAGTCTTCCATTCCATATTGTCATAAATTTCCATTGTTTAGGAATATATCTTAATATACCCGCACATGTAGGAAACATAATAACTGGATATGCAATACAAACAACAATTGTCATTAAAGCTCTACAAATTAAAATAACCCAATCTATTTCTGAACTACCAGAATTAGTAAAATCATTTAATATATTTGATGATACTTTATCAAAACTTAAATTACCACATACAGCAATAAGTAAATAAAATAATGAACATGTTATAATTGAAAAATAACTTCCACCTTGTAAAGCAACCAATTTATTCTTTTTAGATAATCCTCTTGTTCCTACATATAATGGTGGTAAACATGAATGGACTTGGAAATTTGCTGAAATAAATGGTGCCATAGTAAAAAATGACATAAAACTTTGTGGCCACCACTTTCCATCAAAAGTTGGAAAATTAGCATCACTTCCATTTGATGATTTTCCAGTTACAGCAGCATAAATTAATTTACCAATTATACTAGCTGTTGTAATAAATGCAGCAATTAATGTTAATACTGAAATTTTACTTAAAAATTTAACTGATTTAGGAATAATTAATGGAAGATTTAAACAAACAGCAACAAGATAAAGAATTATATAATGCCATCCACAAGCTATACCAGCAGTTCTTTGTGGGTTGCCATAACATTCGTCTAATGTATTATTCCATTGGTCTCGTGATGTGGTCTCTTGTACAATACCAAAAATGTATTGAGTAGCAATTACTTGATCACACATCAGTACACATATAAAAAAAAGCGTATTACAAATATCAACAATAATAGCAAAAAAATTACCAAATATTAGTGATAATAATTCACCTAATGTAGATGCCCCAGTTAAATATATAGCTCTGTTGAAATAACTCCATGTAAGACAAAAATAAAATATTGTTAATATAATCCAAATAGTATATCCAACAAGACCCATTTTATAACACGTTTGGGCAAGAGAAAGAATTCCTGAACCAATTAATGAGCCAACAAGAGAAAACCCTAACTGTAAAGAAGTAACTCCAATTTTTCCCCATGTCTTTTTAGTTCTTTTAGACTGACCACTTGGAGTTCTATGATATTCTTTTTCTTCATAAAGTAATTCTTCAAAATTTTTTGCTATTGTATCTTCAATAGTATTATTAGATACTTTTTTATCACTTTTTATTGTGTTTGTTTCATTATCTGCTAAATTACTTTGTGGTAGCTTTGCTGGGCTTTGAATAATTTCATTATTTGGTTCAATTTGAGGGGTTGAAGAAGTTAATACAGTCATAGTAACAGAGGGATGTTGTTGGATGTCATTGTTTTCGTTTTTGTGTTGAGAGATTTCATTATTAGTTATGTTTATATCTTGGTTTGTCATTTCAATCTCATTATTGTGAGCTGACATTGAGTATATTAAACTGTTCTTCTAATTTCATTGAAACGAAGATAAAAAAGAAGTTTCTTCTTCTTTGCTTATTTCTTATGGAAATGAGGGTTCTTATTTCCACGACATTCGTATTAATTCCTTATATTGAAGTTAAACTTTTTTTTAACATCATTTCATTATTTTATTGTTCTATTTTCTCTTATGTTTTTATTTCATTATTATTGTATATTTTGTTTCCACGTCATTTATTAATAGTTTATATTTTTTCGTTTGTATTTTTCTTATGTTATAAAAAGTTTGTTTTGAAAAACTCAACGCATTTTGATTTTTGTAAATAACTTATTCCTCTAATAGTTAATCTTAGGGCTTCTGTTTCTTGATTTTTCATTCCTGTGATCAAATTAAAATACTTCTTTGCGAGTTTGTTTTATATAACTCAAATAAAACACTCTATTTTAAAATTTAGTTTAAAGTCACAGTTTTATTGATGAAAGAACAAGAGATATATAGTAGTGGTTGTGAGCATTACCCTTTTAGTTATAACGAATGCAGCTCTTTATAACTTCAATCCACCTATCTTGTTTTTTAATAATTTAAGTTTATAAGAATATTTGTGTTTGAGTTTTTTAGTATTTTATGATAATTTTTTAATCACTTTTTTAGCATGGATAATTGATTAATATATAAGTGTTATTAGTTGTCCATAAATTGACACCTTTTAATAAAGTATTTTTATCTAACAAATCTAAATATCTATTAATATTAAGATAATTAGTTATGATGATTATGTATTTCAAATAACATATTTATTTATGTAATTTTCATTATTTATTCTAATTATCTTTATCATTATATAGAATCTTTTTTATTCAGTAGTCTTTTTTTTTATTAATAACTTCATTTCTTTTGTATAGATAGTATTTTTAACTATGTTATAATATTTTTATTCAAAAGTAAACAGCAGATAGTTACTTTCAGTAATTTGATAAAGTTCTATATTCTTTCTAAAGAATAACAATAAAGGTATAATCAAAATAAATTCTCTATATAAGTCATTCAGTTAGAATGATTATCAAATAAACAAATTATTTATAAGAAAATCTGTCTCCATTTATTTACTAATTCAGGCTTCTTGAAGTAATGAATAGATTAACATTAGTTAAAGTATTTTTATAAATCCAATATTAAAATCGATACATCAAAAAGTTGTCTTGAATCTTTTAAAAATAAAACAATGAAAGTACTTTGTTTCAAGTTTGGTTATCTTTATAAATTCTTTTATCTTTTAAATAATAGAAGTGAAGTATCAAAGATCTTATTACGTATATAAATAAGTTTAATAATTTATACCACTAATCCTTTTTTGTTAAATATTATTCTGTTTGCTATATTTTAAGAAGAATAAAATGTAGTGTAAAGGTAAGATAATTTTTAAGATTTATAATTATCAACAATCTGGTAAACTTACCAACAGATTGATAGGACATCATTATTACTCTAGTTAAAGTTACAAAAAAAAATAATAAATTGGTTTTACAACACAAGGAAGAAAAGAAAAAGAAAAGAACTAAATTAATTATAAAGATATAAATGAGAAAAACAATATTAGGAATATGGGTTTTAATAACACTTATTGAAAGTTGTGTTGGAGTAGTTATTACTGATTTTAATTCTATTGAAAATCAACCCAGAAAGTTTAAAGGAAAGATTTTTGCCATTATAGAGAGTGATGATGATATGAACATTGCTATTGAACATAAAGACAGAATCGACCAAGTTATTGGAAAAGGTTTTAGTGTTGAATCATTTCCATCAGGAAGTCCTAAAGTTGAAGGAGAGTGGGGATATAAAAAGAATTTTACACATAATATTGGTCATATTATGTTTGGGAATTTTGTGAGTATTGTTAATTGGACGTTTGAAATGACAGAAGTAATTATTGAAACAATAAAAAAATATGGGTTGGATGGTGTATGTATGGAAGATTTAGAAAATGTATATTTTATTACTGGAAGATCAACCCGTGATGTTAGATTGATATTAAGAAGATTAGGAATTGAATTACATAAAATTCAGAAACAGGTATTTGCTATTATTCCAGTTTGTTTAATAAATACATTAAGAATATTTATATGCTATAAAAAGATTAACAATATCTAGCCAAACTCTGAAGCTATTGGAATTAGTGAAATAGCATCATTAAAGAATTTAGTTGATGAATTTATTATTGATGATATGGAGTATTATGATAGAAATATGATTGGTTCACATTGTACTTCTCCTATTTATTACATTAAAGGACTGGTTGAAAAATATACATCAAATTATGATGATTTAATAAAAAAGACATCAATCACTATTGACCTTTCAGGAACAATGCTTTGTCCAAATCAACCACGAAGTATGATTAATTCTACTCATCTCTATAATAAATTACTTCAAGTTAAGAAGTCAGAATGGATAGATGAA